TTCGTGATAAAGTTTTAATACTTATTATTATAATCTAGACATGTTAATCCTTAAATATACTTGTATATTGGGCCACAAGTATATATATATATACTTGTGGCCCAAAACTCCTTGACTTCTTCCAATGCGGCCCAGAGAAACAAAAAGGTTGGACACCCGATATAGAGTTTGACGAGTAGTGGAAAATGCCTTTGGAAGATTAAAAGCAAGATTTCGAAAACTTTCTAAAATGGATAATAGGATTGATATATCAAAACAAATTATTAAAACTTGTTGTATATTACATAATTTGTGTGAGAAGAAAAATGATCTAGTAGAGAAAACACGGTTTAATGAAATAAATCAGTCTGATAGTTCATCAGAGAGAATTTGTGTTATAGTGATAAATAACACCAAAGCTATTTCAATCACAAATGCTATTGCAAGAAGTTTTAGGGATTAATATAAGGATTTTAAATTAAGTTCTCAAAACAAGATTTATTACAGGATAATACTCAGAAGTTAACTAGAATATAGTTGTACTTTAAATTTTGACATTGCAAATATTAAATAATGTATAAAATTCTAAGTATCTGTTTGTTCTAAAATCATTAATATAAATTAATTTTTATGTTCAATTGTACACTTTATCTTTGTAGTTGCAGTCCTTCCTCAGCAATTGCTATTGATTTCCTCTAAATCCTCAGAAACAGCATTACTTTGTTTAATTTCAGTCAGTAATTCATTTATTTATTGTTCCAATGGCCGTTTCTTTCTCTTTGATGACCTTGTCACCCTTATTTCAGCATCAAGTGGTACATCAATTAATGCAGTGAAATTTATACTATTTTCATTGTTCTCTAAAAGATACAAGCACAATTATTTAACAATGTACACTGTATTTTATTTAAATACACATAAAAAAAAAGGATGCAACTTATATGAAAACATTAATTTATTAGAGTAAATGATGATTACATATTTAGTAACAACCACAAGAAAAATCACCAGGACTTAAATGCTTAATTACACAAAAATATATGTAAAATGGAGTTTGTGAATGTGCTTAAATATTTTACAATGTCTATCCAGACAATATTTTGTAAAAACTTTTAAATTTAACTGGTATTCCATAGTTCTTGCAGTTATAGATGCCAAATGGTAATAAAGGTAGACATGTACAATTTTAATAATAAATTCCAGAATGTTGTGTTATATTTAAAAGTGGCAGAGTATTATGAGAAGCTAACATATAATAATAAATATTTTTGATAGTTATAAGTAATAGACCTTGATATAATAGGATACATCTAATGATACCTATATCCAAGTCAGGTGATTGTAAACATTCTACTATCACATCACACTGCTGAAACTCTTCCATTAATGATAGATTCTGAGCTGATGCCCTATAATTGAATGAAGTACCTGGAAATATTGCCAGGTAGATGGGCTGCCTCCCAATGTCCAATCTTTGTTACTTCTCTAATTAATAAAATTTAAAAAAAATTATATTGTTTCAAGTAGGAAGGATTAATATTTTCTTTTAAAATTTAATATTAGTTATTTTGATTTTTATATCATTTACAATTATTGTACAAGTCACAAGAAATACAATTTCTGTCATTTAGTGTCAACATTTGAAATATAACTGTTTAAAGAATTCTTTATTTAAAAATTAAATGTTAATTAATTTAAGGATCATGTATTTTCACAATTTTAACTTACCTGTATTTGGCAGTTAAATTTTTAATTTTCGTCCTTATTTCGGACCATGTTCTGGCTCTGAACGTTGACCTTTAAAGAATTTTCTGCTGCCATTGCTTCATATATAGATTTGTTCCGTTTGACTCAATATAAGTCATAGATTTTTTCCCTCCATATATCAATTAAAATGATTATTTCCACCTCTGACCAATTTTTGGAGCATTTTTTCCCATTTTGATTGCACATTTGTTCACCTGCTTCTGCCATTTTTTTGAACCTGTGGCAAACCTCGAGGAGCTTTAAGCAACTTAAGCTTGCTTGAGAAAGAGATTTAAGCTGAGCCAATTGTTGGTAGTTAAACCAGTTTAACGTTAAGTCAGTTTCGTTCATATTTCATACCTTAAGCTGACTTTATCATTTAAGCTGGCTTAAAATACGAGGGCTGTTCAAAAAGTATCGGACCTTTGGTCGGCAAAAATACATTTATTGATTTTGAGGTACAAAACCCTAATCCCCTTCAAAGTAGTCTCCTTGGTAGTGTATACACTTTTCCCAGTGTTCCTGCCATTGCTGGAAACACTGCTGGAATGCATCTTTTGGAATGGCCATCATCCGGTCTGTCGCATTCTGCACGATGTCTTCTCTTGACTAAAATCAGGTTCCTTTTAGCGGCATTTTTAGCTTGGGAAATAGTCAAAAGTCACATGGAGCCACGTGGGGCGAGTACAGAGCGTGACAAACCACAGGAGTGTTGTGTTTGGTGATGAAAGCCCGAATCAGATGCGCAGAATGGGCGGATGCATTATCACGATGGAGCTGGCAAGTTTAGATCGACCACAGATCCAGTCGTTTGCGTCGTACAGCATCAGAAAGACAATGAAGGACTTCCTGGTAGTACTCCTTTGTGATGGTTTGGCCTTGTGGTGCGTACTCACAATACACCACCCCACGAGAGTCGAAAAAACTGTCAACACGACCCTTGATATTGCTGCGGACCTGCTGCACTTTTTTGGCCTCGAGGATCGTCCCCGAAAGCCTGCTGAATCTTGCGAATGGTTTACGCTTGGATATTGCCAAGGTTTTTGGCAAAATTTGATGTAATATCGCTGCTCACATTGTTCAGTCATTTTCCAACTTAGTGGAATCTGACGAGAGCTCACTACACGTTCTCACTCATAGGCCGACTGCCAACGACTGATGCTTCCTGCAGGCGGGAAAAAATTCAGAGCTGTGCATGACTGTCCCCTCCACAACTCCACCGAAAGAGGCCTCCCATGCATCATTGGTTTATGCGGAAAAAATAAAAGTCCGATACTTTTTGAACAGACCTCGTATAGTGTGAATAAGGTAAAACGTGACATTTTATTTTTTTCCTCAAAACAGGACATCTACTAATTTTTAGGTAATAGTGTGGTAATCCTTAGGTAATAGTATAGTATTCAAAAAAATTCATATTTCTTTATAGTTTTTATTTATTAATGAAAAGAACTGGAATGAACATGTGAAAATAAATAATTTATGTGGTCTTATATTTTTACGAAGAACAAATTTGCTTGAGTATATTTGGTGTTGATTACAAATCAGAATAAAATTCTTGGCAGGATTTCTTAAAATTTACTTTGGTAATTAACATTGCTTTAATAATTGTGACTTGCAACTGTTTTTTTGCTTGTCCATAACTTATTCATAAGAGAAAAGACTCTTTCTATGGATGGATTAGTGCCAAGCAAACATAAAATATATTCAATAATTATACAAATGTTTGTATGATTCAAATTATTGGTGTGAAAGTGTTGGAACAATTCCACCCAATTTTTTTTAACTCTGCCCTGTGGGCACTAAAACTGCTCTAATGATAAGAATAAGTATTATAATATAAGGTTTTTTTCCCTCTATCAAACTCAATACAAGCTTGAAAGACTGCCATAGTTTTCCCGTGAGGCATAATTCAGTGTCTATGCTCAGAAACAGAATACAAGTATGTTTCCAATCTTAAAACCAGCACTTTGCTCTTTTTTTAATTTGTTTTGCAGTGGCATCACTGAGGCACATGATTTGCATATGCACTTTTTTGTTAATCATTTGCACATCGCTTCAAGTTCAACACTTTATACAAATACAAGCATAATGGAAGCTTCTTCATGGTATTGCATTTTGTTTGACCAGCAGTGTATTGTTATGGACCTTTTTTTTTTTTAACTCTGTCAACTATATGAAACTTTTTTAGGCTCTCACGAGTTGGGTTAAGTTATACATTTACTTGTGATCAGCATTTATAGGGGTGGCCAAATATCTGTAGCATGCAGGTAGCTAACAGTTCAAAACCAGTCCTGCACTAACTCATGCAGTAAGTTTAATATATTTCATTTAATGATTAAATGCTCTGAGATATTTACAAGGAAACATTTGCATTTGCACTTTGCCCCAACTTCCTCTACTATATATTGAATCGTTACATTCAATAGTTCAATAAATTTCATTCTGATGAGTTGTATTACTAAAACATTTTCCACACAGTATATTATCATTTGTATAATTAGCAAAAAAATTGGATGTCTGTGTATTTTCTTACAAAATAAAAATAAAGTTTGATAAACTACAGGCAACAACAAGATATTACAGTATTCAAGAAGTAATCAATGAGTAACCATCAGAGTTTCATTTCCCATCTTCATTCAGATGTCTTGTTGTCTACTATCTCTATGAAGCACCATAAACAACTCCACAATAAAGATGTTTTGCAGTTTTCAAAGTTGGAATCACTCATCATTGTGCAGAGTAACCTGCAGGAGTTGTAGAATTGTGGCAAGTGTGGGAGGGATGACAATGTATATGCTGCAGAAGTATGGAAAGAATTTGAGTATCAATTGGGTGTGTTCCTTGTAACACAATGCATTGAGAAATTGTAATAGGCAAATGTGAAAGTCTTCTAATGTTTTACTGTACATTACAATGTTCTCAGATAATAATTTAAAATAATGGCATTCATTTTGGAAGACTCTATATTTATTTAATTGAATTGAATAGGAGAGCTTATATATGTCAACAAACTTTTAACTGAATTTTATATACAGTATATATATAAGATTATATATACAAAGAATTATACAAAATAAGTTATTCATTGCATATAATGAAAGTTAAATAATTAACTTTCATTATTTGCAATTTTCCAGTTTATTAACTTTATTATATTCAATAAAGTCAATAAACTGCAAAATTTATTACAGATTATGGTAGGTATCTTAAATATATTAGCATAAATAACAGTAACATTATTTCATAAACCTACAGACACACAAACTTTTCAAAGCTCATTTCAAAACATTTTATTTTTTAAAATTATAATATATATCTAATTTACATTTATTAACCTATTCATTACTTATGTAATGTCAATTATAACAATTCAACTGAACTACTTTTACTATCATTAATTTTTTGGATCACTTCTGCTTCTTTTCGAGTAATATATGTACTTATAGCAGCTTGAAACATAAATAGTAGTACTGAATGAGGAAAAACTACTGGCTTTGTTAATTTCCACCATAATTTTATAATATCTTTAAAATTAGTTTTCATAGGAGGAATAGCATAAGTATAATATTTATTAGCATAATGAAAGGATGAAATTGGTACTAAGAGCATAGGATAAATCACACCACAAACTCCTTGTAAAACTGAACTGCGAATTTCAACGCACAAAGCACAAGATGATTTCTGAATAACAACATCAGAACTTATAAATATTGAATGGCACATTGGTGCAATTATAGCTGGTAGTGCAACAGCTGGCATATAAGTACTGGCTCTAGCCTGAAATAAGAAAAATTTTAAATATAATTATTTTTAATATTATGAGTAGTACATAAAGTTACTTATAAGTAATTGAAAAGCTATTTGAAATAAAATGTGACAACCATTAAAGCAATATTTTGTAAGTGCAATGAAACTAAATGAAGGAAAGCATTAATGAAACTCACACTCAAAATTTCAGCATTGCAAAACATTTTATGTTTTTCCCACAATCTATTAGCATATTTGTTGTTCTAAATTGGAATCATCTGATGAAGAGATTTTGAGATGGCTAAAAACATTAATTGCAAATAAAATGCTTTTCAATGCTGGGATTTTGAAGCAATATTCATATTGAGACAGGTAATGGAAAACTACAGAAAAGGAAGACAAGATCTCCACATGATCTTTATTGATACAGAAAATACCTATGTAATTAGCTATATCATGTTATAAAGGTATAATTTAGACATTGTGATTTATTCTAGAAACAACTGGCAAAAATTGTTCTAAAATGTTTGAAATGGGTATGTAAGTAGAATAACCAAAGGGCATTATATTGTATATTTTGCCAGAAGTAGATGCATCATAAATGTCTGACAATATATGAAAGTTTTGAAAGAACACATTTGCATCTTTGACATTCATTATCACTTTGACTGCCAACTATAAATTATTTCGCAGTTGGAAATCGAACAACAGGAGCCATCTACGAGATAACTTGTATAACGTGCATAATGCTGTCTGTCATGTTTTGCCAGATATGATTATTCCCATAGTAAGCACAGTAGAATCTTGTTTTAATGGATTGCTCAAGGCACCAAAAATCTGTTATATTGTGAACAACAGATTTCTCGCACACCCAGGAAAATATCAGTTATTCAAAAAATTTCTGTTTTATAACCCCCAACATATAAGAAATAACAGTAATTGAAATTATTCAGTCTCTTGAGATCTCTATTCTTTATTCTATAGAAACTTTATTCTTTGCCATACATGAGCTGATGGAAACTGTATATACTGTAAGCACAAAAAGAGGCAAATTACATATGCTCATTAGCACTTCACTCAACTTCACAATTTGTTAAGAAAACTCATTCATCTTTGTTTGTTTTGATGCTGCTTTTCTGCCTATTGAATAGCCTACAACAACTGCTTGACATTAGCAATGTATGTATAGCCTCCTGTTCATTTATGCTGAAAGATGACAGGAAGGTCTTCGTGACTTGGAAAAACTTGATGTCCTCGCCAAATTTCAGCAATGTACTTGGACCAATGTCAAATGTTCACTAGGTGGTCTTCCTCAATTGTATCAGTCTGCTGACTCTCTTCGTACAATTCTTCAATTGTTCATAGCTGAGATGTAACAAGTGCATCATTGAACTCTACAAATTCCCAGAAACACTCAAATATTAACTAATCATCAAAAAATGCAAAGTTTACAATGGATAGAACTAGAAAAAACTCCATTATTCCAAGTTATGGATCCATTAACACATCCTTTCTTAAAGTGGGTGATAACGCCCCCTTGTGGGAACTGGAGGCTTTCAGGGGGCAGTAGAATGCTCAGTGATTAAATATGAGTTTTATTTCTTCTCATTGAAACATTCTTTTTTTCTCAGAAATAGGATATAGGTCACATCCTATCTATCCTGTCCATATAATAATGTATGTTTAAACATTATATTTGCAATAACTGTTTTTAAGATACCTTTTTACATTACCATCTGTTGGGTAAGTTAAAAAAAATATGGGGCACTAGATTTTTTTAAATCTCAAAATGGGCAGTGGTTGAAATAAGTTTGAAAACCTGTGCACTAACGAAGGTAAAACTACATTGATTTGGTGGGACCTAGGAAAAAAATCCATTATTCCGAGAAATCTGTTAAAATGAGATTCTACTGTAGTTATTATAACTTGGACATCTGGAATGAGAATGACAGTGATTGGGCATTATCAAACAAATTGTAAAGTTTAAAATGTAATATGGGTTTTCTATTTTGATTGCCAGGCATTTTTGTAGTAAATATATCACCAAAGTAGCTAATTTGTGCTGGAATATAAATGACAAATCAATTTGGTGTCATAAAAGGAAAGTTTATTGAAAAAATATTGAAAAATATTTTTTAAAAAATCCAGCAACGAGTTACTTAACCTTCCATGTAACATTTAAAAATTTGGTGGCACCATCTGTTATATTTTATTAAAGAACTTTTTATACACTCATCAAAAATAAAACTGCAACACCATGAAGTAATGCATATATAGCCAATCAAATTGCAGGACCAGCAGAGGTAACAGAGATATGCAAATGAATAATTTTGTGTATGCATCGGATCATGTGGTATCCAGTTTTGGGCTATAAAGACCAGCAACTGACTCAGGCTGTAAATGCTATTAGCAATGGTTCACAGCAGCCAAACTTTAGAAGAAGCATAGCAAATGCCTCAGAGATGATGGTGTGAAAATCTGAAGACATAGAATAAGAATCTTTCCTTAGATTGGGAAGATTTATTTAAAATTTGATTTAATTATTTAATAAATTAAAATGTTATTTAGTTAGAAAGCAAAATGTACAATTTGACATTTTCTTTCATGGGAATTTGAAGGAAAAAGGGAAATAACATTTACTTTCAGTCTATCAACTTCCTATGGTGAAATCTGATCACACATGTTGATGAACATCTGCAAGTTCAAGTCATCTCCAACATTCCATCACATGGGTAACAAATTAACACCTGATTGGCAGAGATTTTGGGATAAAAAGGTTAAACAACCAATTTTCGGGGCTCTTTCATTGAAGTTTCCCTCATCTAGTCCGCCCTCATCAACTCTCCTCATCTCCAATCTCTCCCATTATCTTCACTGAGCTAACCGATCAGTGAAGTTTCTCATCCTTTGTCCTGACAATAGAATATAGTCTCTGCTTGAAGACATCATCATATTAGCATGAGGTATTATGCACAAATTTGCATAAACTCTCTCTCGGTCTATTAGAGGCATACTTAGCTAGTTTATCAACATAGATCTACAGTAAGACCCGCTTAACGTGGGGGATACATTCCAATAAGTTTGAGTGCTAAACAAAACAGCATTAAACGAGGTCATCTTAACACGTAAATAATGGGGATAAGTGAAACAGAACAGAGAATATAAAAGTTTTAGTTTTTTTTCGGTTTGTTTTATTTTGTAACATTTATGTTAAATACAGTAGAACCTCAATTATCCGGACCTCTATTATCCGGATTTTCGATTATCCGGATTGTTCAAAATAAACAAAAATTTTACAAATTTGCTGATTTGCACTTGGCGAATTACGATACTGTTTATATACGTGATGGAATGCATAACTTTTTTTGTTTCAACGACGTCTCACCCGGCACAGTGGCCGTAAACTCTTAAATATATTTTGCATCGTAATAAAAATATAACTTGACATACATATTTATAAATAATTTTATTTTCAAATTACATCATTTCTGTGACCAACGGCAGCGTAAGGCATGGGCAACGTGGGCCACCGCCTATGCCTCGCGGTCCGAAGGGCCTCGTGTTTCGAACGTTTATGCATTACTTAAAAGTTGCGAACACGACGAAAAAATTTTACTCGTCATAAAACGATAAATAGTTTGTCAAATTTCTATTCATAAAAATGCAGTTTCAACTGCTTTTTATTTTATAAAATCCGTCTTCTCGCGCTACCAGAGGGCCTTTTAAACAATAGGTAGTCTTAGTTATTTGTCGAAACCGTGTCTTCTTTTTCTTGTTTCTTCTGATTCTATGTCACGACTTGGTGCATTTATAGACACTTGGCAAATAATTCCATCACCTACATTTACTTCTTACAGAAACGCGTTTCGGGCTTTCGCCCCTCTTCAGTCTGTTACGTCGATAGTTGTGACTTGTGTGTCCGTACTTCCCGCTCCCTTCCCCTCCCCTCTTTTTTCCCGACTTGACGGACTCCCCCGCATGCCTCGTAATTTGTAACATTACCCTTCTCCGAGTGTTGCACACAGCCTCGCCTGCGACTGTATAAACATTCTATTTTATTTTAATAATTGAAGCCAGTTTTTATGGATGTCGATGCTAAGGTTCTTGTTAATATTATTTTTGTCTATGGTAATTTCGTAGCTTTCTTTGAATTTCCTTTTGTACCAATTTTTTTCTTTGTGTACTATTGTTGCATCCTTTTTATCTATTTTGCAGTTGTGGGTCGTGCAGTGTTCGTAAAAAACTGAATTGATTCTGTTATACTTCAGGTTACTGGCTTCAATTATTAAAATAAAATAGAATGTTTATACAGTCGCAGGCGAGGCTGTGTGCAACACTCGGAGAAGGGAATGTTACAAATTACGAGGCATGCGGGGGAGTCCGTCAAGTCGGAAAAAAGGGGGGAGGGGAAGGGAGCGGGAAGTACAGACACACAAGTCACAACTATCGACGTAACAGACTGAAGAGGGGCGAAAGCCCGAAACGCGTTTCTGTAAGAAGTAAATGTAGGTGATGGAATTATTTGCCAAGTGTCTATAAATGCACCAAGTCGTGACATAGAATCAAAATAGGTAGTCTGTTAGCGTTGGTCAGTAGTAGTCCAAATTCAATACGAATGTTTGTTTCTTGAAAATTTGATCACGATTTAAATACAGTATTTACTTTTAATATTACCGATATGTCATTGAAAAGAAAATGTGTTGTATTATCATTAAAAGACAAATTAAAATATTTGTTTCGATTATCCGAATTTTTCCTTATCTGGACTACCTTCATCCCCAATTAGTCCGGATAATCGAGGTTCTACTGTACTTTTTATTACATTAATTATAGACTTATTTATTGCTAATATTGATATTTATTCATAAAACACTTATGAAAATCAAAAAAGTTCAAGTAAAGAAGTTATGTTTGTGATGAGGAACGGTCTTCCTCATTTGACATCTTTTGTTTTTTGTAAAGAAGTCATTTAATGTCATTTGCCTTTTCCTGTTTTGTTCAGCAGCAAGCAGTTGTTGATAGTAAGACAT